ACTATTACTATTAATTATTGCTGTTATCAACTATTATTAACTACAATTTCTTATGACAGTAAGCAGTAATGTAGGGTAAGTGGTAAATACATTATTATAATAATTATTAGCTCAGTAAAAGACCAAAGCCACTCAACACTTGGTTCGGTTATTACAAAAAAAACAAGTAAAATTTAAATCTAATACTACGCCTCTTTTTTTATGTATCAGGAAAACCTTGTGGGGTCGACACAGTATGCGAATGGTGTAGTTAGCGGTATTGCCTTGGTTTTATTACGACTGACCGCCTGCCCAACATCAAATTACAATTATCTCTGGTACACACAAGTACTTTTCCCGTGTGGGAATTGAACCCGTGACCCCCAGCGCCGACGCCAATCGCGCCAACGAATAATCAAACGGTTGTGTATTTTTCAACAGGTGAGGAACATTGTAATAAATAAGCGGCACTTACGCCCGGTTTTTGAAACACTGATCACCGTAGAAGTCAACTAATCTATTAGGCAGCTGATTAGTTGACTTCTACGATAATTAGTGTTTCAGAAACCGGGAGATGACCGGTATTTAGCATAAGGTGAATCACATGCTTATTTGCCACTTTCTCCTGCAAAAATTATAGCAGATTTATTTAGTGATGCAAATGTCAAGAATAGCTTTCTACAATTTCCCAACTGATTTGCTGCAAATCTAGATGGCTTGATTCTTGCTTCCAAGCGTTTAAAGCAGTAAAGTAAAGTAAACAGCCTATACATGTCCCACTGCTGGGGAAAGGCTTCTCTATACAGAGGGTATCAGGGCATAGTCCACCACGCGGCCCCACTGCGGATGGTTCCACAGAGTGGTTTTGCGAGGCAGGAAATGCCTTGAAAATCGCGCTGTTGTGGAACGCTGGACATCGAGGTGGTGTGGATGAAATTTTTGGTTTTGGCACGATGTTCGATGGTGAAATTCAGCCGCTGGGATCAATTCAAGCAATTCCTCGGAACACTCCCCGTGATAGAAGCGGTAGAAGATGCAGAGTGACCCAACATCTCTACGCATATCCAAAGGATCAAGCTGATCGGAAAGACCTTGATCGTCGATAACCCTAGCTGCCCTACTTTGGATGCGGTCAAATGGAAGAAGCTGGTAACAGGGGGCTCCCGCCCAGAGGTGAGAGCAGTACTCCATGTGGGGCCGAATTTGCGCCTTATAAAGGTTTAGGCGTTGAGCCGACGTGAAGTACTGTCTCGCCTTGCTGAGCACACCGGAGCTTCTTTGAGGCCAATTTGGCCTTACTTTCTAATTGACCGCGGAACTTGACATTGCTCGAGATTTCGACGCCAAGTATTCCGATACTAGCTGTGACAGACAGGGGAGTGTTCTCAAAATGAGGAGTCACGACAAATGGGGACTCTTTAGCGGTTAACGCGCAAACTTGTGTCTTATCGGGGTTGAATTGGACTAAATTTAGTCGACCCCAGTCTGAGACTTTTGTTAACATAGTCTCGACTTCAGACACAAGTTTGTTTCGGCTCTCGTAGACGTTTTCCCGAGAAATGTTAGCACGGCCTGTGTACGACACATCCACACTGCTATCATCCGCATAGCAGTGAACGCTGCTGATTTGCAACATATCATTGATATGCAGAAGAAACATAGTGGGAGACAGTACGCAGCCTTGTGGAACACCAGCATTGACAAATTTAGGATCAGAGCATGCACCGTCGACGACGACCTTGATGCTCCGATCTGCCAAAAAGCTGGTGATCCAGTTGCATAACTTCCCGGGAAGCCCATAGGAAGGCAGCTTCGAAAGAAGTGCTTTGTGCCACACCCGATCAAAGGCTTTCGCTACGTCCAGACTGGCTGCAAGCGCCTCCCCCTTGCTCTCAACTGCTTCTGCCCATCTGTGTGTCAGGTAAACCAGAAGATCACCGGCTGAGCGACCTCGACGAAAGCCGTACTGGCGGTCGCTAATCAGCTGGTGCTCCTCTAGGTACCGCAGGAGCTGGCAGTTAATGATGGTCTCCATTATCTTGGAGAACAAGGAGGTGATGGCTATAGGCCTGTAGTTGGACGGATCCGAGCTATTGCCTTTCTTAGGGATCGGGTGCACTAAAGCGGCCTTCCAGGATTTCGGGAATACGCCTAGAGTATAGGAGAGCCGGAAAAGACGCGTCAAAACCGGTGCCAACTCTGGAGCACATGTCTTCAACACGATCGGAGGGATGCCATAGGGCCCACTCGACTTATGAATGTTCAAGGAAAAGAGTGCTCTGCGAACTGCACTTTGCCGAAATTGAACCTCTGGCATCGTAGCATCGCAACGCGGGATTGTTGGTGGTAATTTTCCTCGGTCATCCAAAGTCGACAATTTATATACATATTTTATGTATGTCTGTCTTAATGTTACAATTTCAGCCTATTCTACGCAGACGTAGTCGCGGGCAGCAGCTAGTTATTAAATAGAGGTTAGTGTCCGTTTGTCGATTTTCAATTTCTATTGGTGACTATTTGGCTTCTGAGGGCTAAGTTACGTTCTCCATCTGGTATCATCATCATCATCATTTCAACATTACGAGTCCAGTGCTGGAATTAATATGCCACCCTCACCTCCGTGCCAGCAATATAATGTAATAACATATAATAATAATAATATAATAAAATATCTTTATTCACATAGACGTTTGCGCGTTCTTATGAAACGTCGTAAATTTTACAAAGAAATTAATACGTTCGTAAGTTACCACCGGTTCGGAAAGAATTTTCTGTTGAGAAGAGACCGGCATGAAATTCAACAGTTGCTCTTTTTTAAAAGGTCGGTTTACAATATAATGGTACAGGTATAATAGTCTTGTTTTAGCCTACTCGGGTATCAACAGTATTAATTCCACACATTGGCGTCGTAGCAGTATCCTGATCCACCTGCATCTATCGACTTTCCGCACATTTGCACAGGGCGTCACTATCTAGTGGAGGGTCGTCCTATACTGCAGTGTTTGTTATTGTTATTCTGAAGAAAATTAAAAAAATAAAAAAAAAATAATAAGAACCGTTTCAAATAATACCAATGCCACATCTGGTACCCAGGAATATGAGAATATTTTAGTTTAATAATACGTTTATATTAATGAAGACGATATAATTAGTCAATGCCAAATAGATCAATTAATACTATAGAAATTGATACTATTAGTAAAGGTGACAGTTGGTTGCTTTTAACAACTTTAAAAAAACGCGAACAAAATAATCGATAAAGATTACTTAATGTTCGATTATCACATAACTGTTTTTATTTGCAATATTTTAATGTATGTAAGTGTATTATGAAGCAGTAATAGAAACTAGAACGTTCTTATACTTGTTACGGTTCGCGGCTCCGTCCATTTGCATTACGTGACGATTGTTGCATAACATCGTCCTGTCCCATTTGTTGCTATACTTTTCTTTAACAGGCGTCACATGTAAGTTATGAAACGTATTATTTTTTGTTTTTTTATGTAAGAAATGGCAAGCGCCAATTGTTCACCTGATGTTAAGTTATAACCGACGCCCATTGCAACAACCATAGGGTTGCAGATGCGTTGCCACCTTTCAATAGTGGGCCCGGGCTACCTAAATCACCAGACGAAACGCAGAAGTGTGGCACTTCTACTTCACGCTGGAGACCAGCTGAGGTCGTGGTACTTACCCGGACGGAACTGCCCATTCGTGCAACAGCGAGGACTGTTGCGTTGCCCTACCACAGTGATCATTGCGTTGGTAATGCAATGAATTTAATAGGGCTGAAAATGGTCTTTCTTGGTCCATTAAGTGAATATCACTTAATGGCCCATGGACATCCACAGCACTTGAGATAGCATTTGCGTTGACCACTACAAAATGTGGCGTAAAATAATGTTTTTTTGTCATATAAATCAAAGTAAGGTTAAATAATTGTTTTGTGTGCGTCTTTTGGTTGAATTTGAATTAATTTTTTAATTGTAGAAGACTATTTGAACGATTTCATACTCCATGTTGAGAGGACTCAGTGATTGTTTAACGTTCTAATGACATATTAGTCTAGTATACTAGTATTTGTGTATATATAAAAGTTTATATTGTACAAAATTATATTATGTATATTAAATTGTAAAAAAATGTTTATCTGACATAATAAATAGTGTGTAAAGGCAAAGGTGAAACAAATGATAGTCGTTTGTTTGAGAAATAGTTTTTATTATAAAAAGAGTGTATAAAAATCGTTTATAGTCGACTGCGGTCGAAATAAACCTCGATTCGAACCTTATCCTAGGAATTGAAGATCTATATACAAAAGTACATTAAACAGGTACATTACATGAAGACTCTCTTTGACAGGGTTACATTGAAAGAGATCAAGTGAATGTCAAAAACGAAAAGGAATATTTGTACACACAGTTTTATATGGTTGTACATATTAATTACACTGCATCAAACTGTGTACACAAAGAGTTATATATTTATATACATAATATACGAATACATTAAAGAACGGTTCTGATATTGCCTTAATCCCCATCTAACCCTTGATCAGAGTTAGAGTGCGCCCAAAGTATAATACGTTTAAACTAAAACTATCAAGATCACATAATAACGTTCTTTTCTGACTAAAAGAGAGAGCCAGTAAGGAAATGCTTTTAAATCTCCTTTGTACACTCGTTTGTGGATAATGTTATCGTGTTACGTAAATTCAAAGGGGAAATTTCGTTTCTTTTTTCAATTTGGTGGTAATAAGCCTGCTGAAGTCGCCTAATTCACGCGAGGCTAGACTTTGTTAACAGAGTATTTTAAAGTCGGCCATTTTGTTAACTTATGGCAATATGGCGTAAAGTTCCGTAAAATCATTATCACGCGTTAATTTCGCCCGCCAGCTAGCTAAGTTTTTTTTTTTAATTTCATCAAAGACTACACTTCACTGTCAGAACAGATTAAAAATTGTTGAATTTACGCATTTAGATTACCGACAACCGAGCGCCCGGTGTTCCTTTTCCCGTTCACCAGATTTTAGAGGAGAGTCCGTGACCGTGGAGGCCACCGTAGAGGGACCCACCCAGGCCTGACGTCACGATGGACTTAACGACTGGCACGGCCACCGGCTGGGGGACTGGCACCGCGACCGGCTTGGCAACTGGCACCGCGTAAGGCGCTGGCACTGGCACGCCGACCTGAAAGCGGAATAGTGAAGAAAAGTGTTGAGCGATACAATTAGCTTGTTGGCACGCTTCGCTGTGAGTGTTGGGTGCTTCTATCAGTTTCTGAACCTATGGTTAATAAGATCAAATCTAGGCAAAAACCACTACCGCAAGACAAGAATGAATTAGCATTTTCTGTGTTGATATTTTTTTTATTTTGATCAGTGTCACCTCACAGTAAATACGAATTTAATGACACCTTTCAAGCTAAAATCCATAAAGCCATTTACGCTGCAAAGCGTGCCAAACAATTATACATACATACATTCATATATACTCTCGAAAAACATAACCCTCCTTCTGGCGCAGTCGGGTAAAAACGAATTAAGAACTAGTTAACCAAAATGTTTAGTTAAAAAAATTGAGTAAAAGAAGTCATTGAAGGGAATTAAAGTGAAATGTTATCAAAAAAAAAAATCAAGGCGTTATGGGTACAAAAAACTAAAGTAGTAAATTAGTAGCAGTCTTAATTTAGCATTGACGCGTTCAACACTAAAACACGTCACAGCAACTCGAAACAACCGTGTATCGTAGTCAGTATCGATCGTTGCTTCCACTGCTGTCCACGACCTGGCCTTAATGTTGACGTACCTGTTTGATCACCGGGTAGGGGACGGCGTGGGGCACTGGGTAGGGGACGGGCCTGTCGACTGGCACCGCCACGTGCCTCTGGACGGCGACAGGGTAAGGCCTGGGCACGGGAACCGCGTACGGACGGTCCACAGGCACCGGGACGTTGACCTGTGACAGGAAAATACCATTCAAATTCAAATTCTAAATATCTTTATCCAATAGAAGTATATATATAGAAGTATAAAGAAGTATTATACTTACTTATTGATTGTCCAATAACCATTCTTTTTATTGACGAAAAACAAAATCGACTTCAAATATCTCGCCCTGTATTCATTTTATAATTGATTTTCAGACTTTCCCTAAGTATCTCCGGAGCCCAAGATCCAATACCAATTTAATTAATATGGGACCACATGGAAAACACCAGAATTATTAAATTATAATTAAATTATTAATTATTCAAAAAGAATAAAAAAGATACAGGCTCCTTTTATGAAGTCGCTTAAATTTATTGAAATCGAGCACTGGCCGGTCTGTGATATGATTACTTTACTTTACACAGTCATTTATCTGTTATAAACAAATTGTTGATAATTATTTAATGTGCTTGGGGGTGAAGTACGACAATTTATTTTAAAGTGGGACTTGATCTTAAGCTGTGTACTTAAGTGCAAGAGTTTACCCATATAGAAACGAAGGATAAAGTTAAAATACAAAAACGTAAGAGACGGTAATTGAAAATCGTGATTATTTTAATAGTTTGATTCCGCTTATAAATGATATGTCTTCTTGGCGCAGTTGCCAAGTTATTGGCTTCGTCGCTGGGGGTCGTCGGTTCGATTCCTCCATGAGACAACTATTTGTTTGGCCTACAGATTCACGTGAAACTTATGTTTATAAAACGCCCTCGCAACACAGTCCGACAATTCTACAGTAAGGGCTGTTAAAAAAAAAAGAAATCTCACCCTGACTGGGACAGGGTAGGGCCTGTCGACGGCCACTGGGTACGGAGCTGGGACTGGTACTCCGACGTGCTTGGTCACAGTCGTGTGGACGTCAGCGCCGACGATTGTGGCACCGCTAAGGCCGCCGACGCCCGAGCCCAGAGCCAGGCCGGGGCCCGAGGCCAAGGCCGCCCCGAGGCCCGACCCGTAGCCAGCGCCCAAGCCTACGAGGCCAGAGCTGTAGCCGCCCAGGCTGTAGCCGTGCGCGAGCACCGGCGCGGCGGCCGCGTAGTGGCCTACGAGGCCGCTACGCTTCTGGATGACCTTGCTCGGCTCGGCGAGGACTGAAGCCGCCATGAACAGGACTGCGATCTGAAAACATTGGAAGTGCGAACTGAACATATCTTAGATAATGAAAGAGTTATAAAGAAGAACAATTAACGAAACTGACTTAAAATTTCTCACTATACATATTCTATTTGATTCCGAGAAGTTCCCTGATGTATTTCCCGAGTCCTAGGTCGATATAACAGATAAACTAATATGGTGCCACATGGGACCTAAGACGAACTCAAAGAATAAAATATTTTTAAAACCCGGTTCATAAATGACGGGCAGCTCCTCCATTTTTGAAGCCGGTTGAAATAATTTGATTCTGCATGTAAAAGGAAAATTACAGCAAAACTACAAATTATTACGATCGACAATATAAACTTTTGATTGATTGAACTACGTGTGTTCGTGTAATAAAGTTGGTATAACCAATATTTTAATAAAGATGCCGTGTGTCCACACTGCGAGGAATTTAAAAATTGTTCCGCTTTACATTATATGACATATATATATAAGTGAATGTGACAGATAGATAGACAGAATATAGAGTTGCAACCAGAGTTGCAATCTAGTTACACCAATTGGCCTAACTTGAGCGCCTCAGTTTCGGTGCGCTAGCACATCATATATCTACCTCATAGTAAATCATATCTACCTTGCATTTGTACAACATCATTGGGTGTAACAATGTTTTATATGTTATTACTAGAGACCCGCCCCGGCCTCGCACGAGTGCAATGTATTATACGTATAAACCTTCCTCTTGAATCACTCTATCTAGTAAAAAAAACCACATCAAGATCCGTTGGGTAGATTTAAAGATCTAAGCATACATAGGGACAGCCAGACAGCGGGACGACTTTGTTTTATACTACGTAATTTAATAATTTTAGTGGCCGAATCGTGTTTTGGTCTACGGCGGTCGCGTGTCCGTCGAACGAAAACATTAGGCGACTTTTACCGGTTACGTGCTGTGACTTCATCGCGCTGCTTTGAATGCGCCGCGGGGTGGGCAGAAACGAAATTTTGGACACGACACGAATAGCTGAACACTCCTCGAATATTATAAACGACGGTGCATGCGCGGTGCAGTTTTTATCGGCGTTTGGCGCTGTGCTTTCGCTTTCGTCTGTTCGTTTTGTAAACAATAACATTGACGAAATGAGGAGATATTCTTTTTAACCGACTCTCAAAAAGGAAGGAGGTTTCTCAATTCGACCGTATATATATTTTTATTTTTGTTATGCGTGTTCGCGGATAACTTCGTCGTTTATGAACCGTTTTTGATGATCCCTTTTTTGTTAGCAAGGAGATATGCCAAGGGAAGTACCATGGTAAGGGAACCCGGATCTGATGATGGCATCCCAGAGAAATCGAGGGCAATCTTCAAATGTTATAGGTATTTGGTTATGTATTAACAATACAAAACAGTTTTTAGTTTCCTGTTTACAGTCGTTTTTTTTTGTTAAAAATTATTGATTTAAAAACCGGAACGTCAATCAAAAAATGCACATTTCCAATAAATTTGAAATGGACCTTCACAAGAACATACTTAATGCGTAATAAGTCTGTCGTTATAATTGTTATTAAGATAACTAAATGTAATTTATTTAAAAAAATTATAAGATAATAATTTCGACAATTATTTTAATATTATAATTCGTTTTTTAAAAATAAGTATTGAAGTAAAATTGTTATTATACTGAAAAAATTATCTAGACAATATTATTAAACTTTCCAAGTTTTTCAAAATGGTTAAATGAAAACATTTTACGGATTTTATCGCGTTTTAAATTTGATTTTTTATTCTTAACTAAAGAAAATTTAAAATCAAATTAAAAAATATTTTTATTTATCCATGTTTAATATTCTCGTTAAAAAAGAAATCATTACATTTTCAATATTGCTATGTTCACGTCATTTCCTGCCTCGATACATAGAAGCTAAGATTTAGAATCTTTGTATAAAATATTACTATGATCGAGATTATTGGGTAACTTTTAACATTTATTATAATTAATTTTATTTTTTCGATTAGAACCTTTTACGATCGAAAAAAAAAAACAAGAGTTAAGATTACCGTTCGTTTTTTACAATTATATCAAAATTATTTTACTATCGACATTATTCGGTTTAGTTTATTAATTTTAATACATCAATGTAGATTTTTAATAACTAACTTAACATCGATATTATTAGTTATTATTAATTCCTGACTATTCGACCGTTAACCGATGGTACAAACCTCTAAAGTGTCGTGTTAGACGAAAAAAGACTTTGTGAACACTTACGAAGGCCTTCATTTTGCTTATCGGACGGTTGGACGCACAAACACTTAAGTAAATTAAACTGGGGGTAAGGGCTGTGTGGCACTGTCCGCCTCTGTGACCACTGTTCGTATGTGTTCAAGTAAAGCGGTAAGGGTTTATATAAGACCCTCCATACTATCCCTACTATCGGCCGAAGGATTTTAACGTCAAACGCGATAATTTGCGACACCAGCCCCCCCTGTGCAATGGTTAAGCGCTATAGGAATAATCTGGTTTCAATTGGATCGACCTGTTGGGTCTGTGTGACAATGACGTACGAACAATTTAAGATTACTGATGATTAAGTCCATATAATCACTACATAGTGTAAAACAGAGTCGTCCCGCTGTCTGTCTGTCTGATGTATGTTTAGACGTTTAAAACTACGCAACGGATTTTGAAGCGGTTTTTTTTACTAGATAGAGTGATTCAAGAGGAAGGTTCAATGTACAATACATTGCACCCATGCGTAGCTAGGGCGGGTCGCTAGTTATGTATAAGCAGGTCAAGATTGTAATGCTTATAGAGGTTAGTAATAATATTTTTATATTTAATCTAAGCTAGTTAGTTCATGTTATACAGAAAGTATAACATGTCCGATAATCATAGTTCCAAGTAACGTTTTGCGTACCAGGAAGATCGTCATACTTTGCACTGGTCTGTCGTTGACATCACATCCGATCTCTTTTCATAGTTACAAATGCTAATATTAAAGACCTAAATAGGGTCTTACGCACTGGCTGATTTATTTGTTACTTTTCCTGAGTCCAGGCTAAGGAGTTTGATGTACTGGTTACCCTTCCAGGTCTTCCTGGAAGACTTCGCACTTCTCAAATTTCTCATATGCTCCTTCTGCTAATGAAATAAAAATATCTATCAAGACTTAGTTTTCAATGTATTGTAGATGCGATGCAGATGTAGATGATGAACGTTTCAAGTTATTAACAAATCTGCTTGCATATTAAATAAATATTATAATAGTTCTATTAACCGGGTACTATAAACTATATAAAACAGATTGCAAATATCACCAAAGTAACTAACAGTTGCAATTGTGAATGCGTCGGCACATGTGCGACGGTTTAAGATAAAATTATGTTTATTTAATAAAAAAACTATGACGGAATCATCTTCCTTCTCCTTTTGCTATCCTCTCTAGGTGGAGTCGGTACAAGATGTGAATATTGTTGTTAATGGTATTGGCTAGGGTTTTTTTCAGCCTGCCTGTTTCTGCAACAAATTATTGTCTCGTGTGGGAATCGAACCACGAACTCGTCGCCGAAGCCAATAATGGCTGAGGAACTGTGCCACCGAGTCGGCTACTAAAATTATTGGGACTTTGTAGTTTAATATATGTTTTAGTATGATTTTGATTTAATTCATTTACTTGTAAAGTTTTCTACATAGATTTTTATTTTGAAAAAGGAAGTGTTCCTCTCTTTATATAATTGGAATAATGTATATTTCTTTACTACTAATTTGAAAGGACGCAAAATACACAAGTTGGAGCAATTTTGAGGATCAAATGAAGCTTACTCATGTATGGGGATCGAACCCATCATAACCCTTGTAACAGCTTTTGCCATCACTGACTGAAACCGGTGCGCTTTCCCTATTTTCTGAACAATACTAGAAGAGTAGAATTATTCCGTGACACGGAGGCGAATCTCAATCACATAATAAAGGTTCATTCACCATTGAAATCTGGAACAGATGTACAAAAACTTGCCCCAGGTGGGAATGCCCCTGACCTGAGTTACCGCAAGCCTGTACTTTAGCAACTGACTGGAGTGGTCATTTTATTGTTTAATATAGTTGGCAAGCGTTTAAAATGGAGTACAGACAACATCAGGTGCAAGCAACCTGAAAACGAATAATTTGACTAGTCAATAAATTGGTGCGAAATTTTATCCGCTTATTCTTAAAACCAGTGGTAATTTTGGTTTACTTATGTGATACTTTTATCGCACAAAGACCATTAAAGTACTGTAAAAGCGACAGAGGAATATTTAAAGAGAAATACGCGAAGTTATTTGATAAGGTAAAGATGAAGACTTCTGAGCTATCAGTTTGGTAATGGATTCAGTGTCTATTGAGAACTGTAGCAATAGATATCCATCCATCTGTAGAGTTTTTACTAATTATTCATGCCCAGTACTAAAATGTGTATAAAACGCTGTTCAATGAAAAGATTTTTGTCTTGTAGAAATTACTCGAAAACGATTAAAACAGTCGTGACGTAAATCAGAAAAAGAACTTCATTATTTTGTACATATATAAGTAAGACAAATGTTTGAAATATGAGCAAAACTATAAAAAAATCTATAGAATCTCACTCGAACCAATTTGTATTCAACTTTTGTTGTGTAAGTAGATCACTACGCCATATAAAAGTCTTGGCATTTTAAATAGCATAACTCGTACCTCAACCATAAATAAGAAAATTATGGAAAGAACAAATCAAAACTAAATCATAAATATGCTAATCCATGATATTCATGTCAAGGCGATGTTGTGACAGAAGATAATAAGAATATTAATAAAACTCCTCAGTGTCAAATGTAGAACATTCTATGATTGATAGAGCCTATCGCTTCTAGATTTCAACTAGTTGTAATTACAACATCTTAATAAATGATTGCATAAAATGGTAATATGAGAAATGCACAAGACGCAGACGCCTGACTAATGTCATTTAATATTAATATGTTCATCTATCTACCCTTATTTAATATTAATAAATGAAACATTGATAAACCG